TGTTCTTTCCTAATGCTCCTTCTAACCTCTGCAACTTCTTTCTTATATCTTCATAACTCGGTGCTATGAACCTCTCATTCAACATTCGCACATTGTCTGCACTCCTTGGATCAGCCTGTGTACAAAGCTCATAAGCCTCAATCAGCCTTTGCAAAAAAAAAAAAAAAAAACTCTCCGGACTTCCATCTGCTTCCTGCATCACAAAAGACGGCTTTAACACATTCACTGAAGGCTTTCCAGCCTTGCGAAGAGTCTCTACTACTAAATTCTGATATTCCTTTAACAAGGTCATATGTGCTGGATTTTGTGCCTTCCATTCAGGGTCCTTTTCTGGTGCCCTGGCTTCCATCTCTGGCTGTATATCCCATACAGCCGGCAACCTATCCTTCAAACACTGCCTAACAGCAGCCTTCCACTTCTCCCTTTCCTCGGGAGTCAACAAAATATTCAACAATTGCTGTACATCCTGCCACGTCCTCTTTACTTACTTCTCCCCTCACATTTACAGAGAGACCTTCCCAATCCCCTTCCTCCTTGGGGGCTGACAGCCTCCCCCTTTCTGTTTTCGTCTCACAGCTGGCTGCCTTTCTTCGGACACAGCAGGGGCAATCAGCCCTTCTTCCGGCAGAGCGGCTGCTGCCGCAGTCGGCACTGGGGGGGAGGGGGAGAAAGGTGGAACGTAGGGAGGAGGTCTGAGAATCAACTCCTCTACCTCCATCCTTATCTCCTTCTTAGCATCTGACACCTTAGTTTCTGAAATCTTTCACTCTTTTAGTTTGTACTTGAAGCTTTTTTTTTCCTTTGGGTCTAGCCACACACAAACGAACCATTTCAGCCTGACATTGCAATAACTCATCAGCTCGTCCTGCTACTGCATCCCCCCACTGATCTATATACTGAAATTGGTTAGGATAGTTTTCTTAAAAGTCCCCTCTGGGGGCCACCCCACATCCATACTACGCCCCCCCCATCCTAACACACTGCCAATGACCTACAGCGCCGGCGGTCACTAGTAGGGAATGCACTGGCTTAACCACCCACACAACCTAACACGGACTTCATTAGGATCGCCGTCCCGAGTCCAGGGGAGTGATCAGGCCCCCTCTTCTATCTTCAAGTGAGATAGGTACCATTACTTTAAACACATATTCGCCTGCCTTGTAGTTACACCCATCCTGGCCAGGAGTTGGTTCAGACTTCCTTTCCTTTCCCAAAGGGTTCTTGGACTGGCCTTCAGTACTGTCGGCTCTGCTGAGAAGCCACAGCTGTCTCTTGGAGGAAACACACCCCCATGGCGCCTGGAGAATTGTTCAGAGATGGCTTACCAGCAGGTCCGAAGGGTCCAGCCGTCCTCAGCGAAATATCGCCTCACTCAAGCTTTTCCCGGCCAATGCACCAGAAAATGTTGTAGAATTGAAAGACTTGAGTCAGCTCTTTCCAGGAAAGGGAAGTTTATTGCACAGGTTCAGAGAGCCATCGTGGCTAAAGATTCTGAACAAAAGCCTGGTCATTGATGACCATTTTTATAACCCTTCAAGCAGAGTTATTTCCTGAGCAGGTCACATTCCTCACATGGTTACATTCTATAGGTCCTTATTCTAACATGGGAAAACTACTAGACAGATGTATAATCGATAGCTCCTCGTTTACATTGGAATGTTTTTAGCAATCAGCAATATATCAAGTGTTAAGCAATTTAGATACACCATGTGACAAACAGTTAGTAATATATCATGTGCAGAGCTGGGAACAGGATGTCTGGCCATCCTAAATTTAAGAGTTGTCTTGTAAGCAAAACAAACCTCCCTTTCATACACATTCTTTGGTGGGCCATCTGCTTTTTACCCATATTCTTTGTCGGACCATCAGTATTTTTCCAGGTACCACTTTAACTCTACCCTCCCCTTAAAAAAAATGGAGATTCAGAAGAAAAACTGAGGTTGCAAAAACACTTTTGGTGGCTTCTCTGGATTCAGCTCTGAAAATGCCTCAGTTTCCCTCTTTCACTTTCGCTTTCCGTCTCCTTCCTCGTTCAGTGCAAGAAACTTTGCGGGTCAGGCGCTAATTCGGGGTGCGCAAGGTCCCCCTCCCACCCAGCCACAGGGGGGGACGAGAGAGGAGCCAGCTGCCTCTTATCCCACCTGGGCTGCCTTCCCGCGACCCCCGCCCCACCTCGGCCACAACAAGGGAAGAGGGGAGGGGGCTCCCTCTCCGTCCTTCGGATGGGAAAATGAGGCGAGGCAGGGGCGGAGACCACAACTCTCCCCGGTGTGGTTCCTTTTTACAAATGGAGCACAAGAGCTCCTCTCCCCCCTCCCCCCATCTGAACCAGCTCACTGGACTGGAGAAAGAGGGACTGGGTCCCTCCACAAGGAACCATTTTGACCTAGCCTCTTTGAGAAGAAAAGGCTGCTTGCCAGTCTCCCCATTAGGGAACTCCTTTGCTGTCAGTGAGGCTCAGCGAAGAAGCCCGTCTGTGGGGGGTTTGTCCTGCATCCTCTCGGAGAGCGAAATGCTGCTTGCCAGAGAGAGCTTTGGGATCCCAGTTGCCATTCTCAAGCCCAGAGAGCAGGTTCCCTTCCCTGCCCTGCATGCTCTAGCAGTGCCCTTGCGAACCGTCTGCCTGGAAAGCCGTCGGAGGCTATATTTCTGAAAAGGGGAAAGGCTTTTCTTCAGCCAGTCTCTTAGAGACTCCGCTTAGGCCAGCGGTGTCAAACCGCTGACCCAGAGGCCGGATGCGTCATGGCGAAAGCGTGTCCATCCCATTGCCAGCAATGGCACACGTCACGTGACATTGCGAGCGTGACACCCCTGGCTTAGTGCCAAACCAATCTAGCAGGCGGTTCTTTTACTCTCAAAGGGCTTAGCTGAAAAAGGTTTATTCCCCCAAGGGGTCCCGATGGACCTTTGACAGTTAAACCCCAGGAACCGGAGGGAATTCTGCGCCGGCTGCTTGAGACCTTCCCTCCTGGCTCCCCCGTTGCCTTCTTGAGGAAGCTGGCAGGCAGGATGAGAAGTGGCAATCACCTGATCCCGGAGGGCCTGGCCTCTTGTTGCTTGTGTGAACAGGTTGCCAAGAACCCAGATTGCAATCCGCTGGCTTTTGGGAGTGCTGCAACCCCCAGTGTTTCTGCGGGTTCAGGTCTTTGTGTGGGTTTAAGTCCCTTTGTTCAGTGCCATTGTCGTTTCATGTGGTTGTTGAACAAATAGCCATAAGTCAAGGACTATCTGTGTTGTTTATTTAACTTGTATACAACTTCAGGCATGCAGATGATCTCACACTGAATTGAAATTGAATTGAATTGACCTCACTCTGTTGGCGGAAAGCAAAGAGGAAATAAACAGCCTCTTGATGAGGGTTAAAGAGGAAAGTGCAAAAGTTGACTTGAAACTCAACATTAACAAACCAAGATCAAGGTATCTGGTCCCATCACCTCCTAGCAAATAGAAGTGGGAGAAATGGAAGTAGTGACATGTTTTATTTTCTTGGGCCCCAAGATCACCGCAGGCAGCCTATGAAAAAACAGACATCACCTTGCTAACAAAGGTCTGTATAGTTAAAGCTATGATTTTCCAGTAGTAATGTATGGCTGTGAGAGTTGGACCATGAGGAAGGCTGAATGCCCAAAAATGGATGCTTTTGAGTTGTGGTGTTGGAGAAGACTCTGGAGAGTCCCTTGGACTGCAAGGAGATCGAGTCGGTCAGTCCTAAAGGAAACAAACCTGACAGATCTTTGGAAGGCCAGACACTGAAGCTGAAGCTCAAATACTTTGGTCATCTAACTGCTGCGCCACCTCGGCTCATATGTTCCAATATCTCAGGGGCTGCCCCAAAGAAGAGGGAGTCAAGCTCTTCTCCAAAGCGCCTGAAGAAAGCAGGACAAGAAGCAACGGGTGGAAACTAATCAAGGAGAGAAGCAACCTAGAACTAAGGAGAAACTTCCTGACAGTGAGAACAATTAATCAGTGGAACAGCCTGCCTCCAGAAGCTGTGTATGCTCCAACACTGGAGGTTTTTAAGAAGAGACTGGACAGCCATTTGTCTGAAATAGTATAGGGTTTCCTGCCTGAGCAGGGGGTTGGACTAGATGACCTCCAAGATCCCTTCCAACTTTATCATTATTATTATTATTATTATTATTAACCCTTAACTAAGACTGCAAGGATATTTCCAACTCTGCATATATTCTCTGTCTTGAGAGAAATAGAAATCACCTGGATGAGGGAGGAATACTTCAACGAAAGCCAAATCAGTCTCTGCTTCATCTGAGTGCCACAAAGACCCACCAGGAAGCAGAGCAGCTGTTTTCCCAAAACCCACCCATAAAAATGTGTCGCCCATGATAGCAATGCCAACCCCAGATTTCTACCACTTAGTTGTAAGGGCTCTTCCCAAAGTCCAGCCATTAGTGAACATGGCCGAGCATTATCATCGTGGACTGTAGATTTTGGGCAGCAATTCAGTAAGGAATTTTCTTTGACCCATTCGGACACTGCAAGTCCTGAGCCTCCCATCTTTTATAGCCATAGCAGGTTAGATGTTCAACTAAGTGTGCTGCTCTTCTCAGGGCTTTTGTAACAGCTAACAAACAGGAGTGTTTCAATACAAGGAAGATGCACCGTTGCCTTATGTAAGAACTATTTTGCAATACTTCACTGAGGTGATATGATGCAATCATTACAACTCCATAAATAGAGAGCCACGTCTGTCCCAGGTGTAAGATTTGGTCCAGAACCAGTCTCAGCATGAAGATCCTTTATCTGCTGTCCGCATTTCTTTTCCTTGCATTCCTGTCTGAACCAGGTAAGAAACAAAATTACTGATAATTTACAAAGGATTGGTAACTCACACCTTTTTAAACAAATACGATCTTCATTGAAAGCAGGATAATTTCAACATCTTTTTGTTTTACTTTACAGAAATAGCTTTGAACGGTATAGACTATTGACAACATGAGCCTCCAAAGATTTGAAAAATATGCCATTGATTTTTCTTTTGATTCACAATTCTTGAAAGAACTTTATTGGGGTTTTTATTATTATAGCTTATTTTTGTTGATTTGCTTCACTTTAACATTGGTTTACCAAATTCTCAGCTCACTCAAGGTCTTCATCCAAAACACACAATGCAACTGGCCACTGTAACTCAGCAAGGATCCATGGCAATACTGGAGAGAAATATATCACAGTAAGGTCTATCCTTCATATGAAATAGAATTATTTCTTCCCTCCTACATTAATAGATGTAGGCTTACCAGCTATTTCATCTTTGAGTCAGACTTCAAACCTGGGTTAATGGCTGATTTATTTGAGCTGCTGCAGGAGATCAGCAGAGATGGATCTGTGTGGTCAGAGAAATCTTGCTGTGGTCCTAGGAATCCTGCAATTGTTGGAAGGATGTTCCATTCCCATCTTGGATGAACGGTTACAAAAGCTGATGGAGTTAGCAGAGATGGCTAAACTGACAGTTTTGATAAAAGAAAAGAATATAAGTACTTTTGTTTGTACTTGGATACTGCTTCTGGACTTTGTGCTATAATTTGCTATGATTTGTGCTATAATTTGCTATGATTTGTGCTATAACTCTGTAATTTCACACAATCTCATTCTTCCCTTTCGGTTTATTTATTTATTGTAGTGATTACTTTGCCACTGATGTCTTCCAGCTAATGTAGTTGCTTGGGCAGAAATAGTATAAAATCAGATTTAAGCTTTTCACTAAGATCTTGGAAAGAAGCAGGAAAAAAATTCTTAAGATTATTTTTTCTCAAGTTAAATACCATTTTGAATACCATTTAAATACAACTTAGAATGACTTTGTCTGATGACTTAATATCAGCACAGCCTGGATCTTGATAAAGACAAATATGCCATGATTTTTCTTTTGATTCACAATTCCTGAAATAACTTTATTGTGGGTTTTGTTATTGTAGCTTTTTTTTTTTGGTACGCTTCACTTTAGTATTGGTTTACCAAATTCTCAGCCAAATATGTTTTGTTTGAATAAGGAGGCAAAATGGAGAAACAGTTTGGTCTAGTGATTAGAGCAAAACACGACAACTCTGGGTACTGAGTTCTAGTCCCACCTTGGGCCTGAAAGCTGACTGAGTGAATTTGGCTAAACTGACAGTTTTGATAAAAGAAAAGAATATAAGTACTATTGTTTCTACTTGGAAACTGCTTCTGGCCTTTGTGCTTGAGGTGGAAAAAAATGATACGATGATTTTGGGGTTTACTGATTAGACTGATTTGTTGATAGAGAAATGGCTAGTTCATACTAATACAGAAATGCAAAAAGTTGAGATTCGATTTTCATGCCTTATTTTACTGCAACAGGGAATCGGAAGTCAACGCCTTTTGTTTCTTCCCCCCCCCTTTCCACATTTCCCCTTTTCCTCTTTCCCTATGGTTGTTCCTTACTATTTGCTTTTTATTTTGATATTTTTATGTTGTAAATGAATAAAAATATAAATTGATAAAGGAATCCTGCAGTTCTGTAGAAGAAGGTAGTGTCTTGGAAGGGAAAATATATTTAAATATTAAGGAATCTTTACTCATCGTTTACCTGTCTCCTCTTTTTCTTTTCATAGGGAATGCCCAACGACAGTGTCTTCGGGAGGCGGATTCTGCCGTTCGCCCAATGTCCTCCCAGACTTCTGAAATTGGGCAGCAGGACTGTGAGCCACTACTGAAGTGCTGTAGAAGGTAAGAAAACTCTCCTCTAATAGAGATACTACAGATCAGTACATAATGAGATTCTCTGCCTGATATTGTTTGCATTCGCAAAGCTTTGCAAAGCAAAGAATTTACTTTAAACTCACTTTGATCAACTTATTATTTTTTTCTCATTTGTATAGGGAAATGGAAAATAATGCCATCTCCATCTAGGACCATGGATATCTTCAAGATATGGCCAAGGACCTGAGATTGCCGCCTGCTATCGCTTTATCTTTCTTTATATAAATAAAATTGCTACCCATCAAACTCTAAAACATTTGTGGAGAGAGAGGGGGGAGGGAGAGAGAGGGAGGGAGGGAGAGAGAGGGAGGGAGGGAGAGAGGGAGAGAGGGGAGGGAGAGAGAGCGGGGGGAGGGAGAGAGAGAGAGAGGGAGGGAGAGAGGGAGGGAGGGGGAGGGAGGGAGAGAGAGAGGGAGGGAGAGAGGGAGGGGAGAGAGAGAGGGGGAGGGAGGGAAGGAGGGGGAGAGAGGAGGGGAGGGGAGGGAGAGGGAAGAAGCGAGGGAGGGGGAGAGAGAGGGAGGGAAGGAGGGAGGGAGGGGGAGAGGGAGGGAGGGAGGGAGGGGGGTGTTGCCTGCTCTTCAACCACATATTATGCTATAATTTCACACACTCTCATTCTTCTCTTTTGGTTTATTTATTTATTGCTTTGGGATTACTTTGCCACTGATGTCTTCCAGCTAATGTAGTTTCTTCGGCAGAAATAGTATAAAATCAGATTGAAGCTATTCACTAAGATCTTGGAAAGGAGCAGAAGAAAAATTCTTAAGGTTATTTTTTCTCAAGTGAAATAGCCTTGGATACAACTTAGAATAAGAGTGACTTAATATCAGCACAGCCTGGATCTTGATAAAGGAAATGAAGATGCAGCAATAGGAAATCCGCAAGAGAGAGAGAGAGGATCCTTTCCTGGCCCAATCTTTTTGTTAAACAGACAGACCAACAGATGTTATGAAATTGATTTTAGATACCATCTAAACAAATAGATAGACTACACAATAAAACCACATTATCAGAGGGTGAGTCACATAGGACCTGATGCAGGCAAACAAACACAGCCAACATGTGAGGGATACTATTGTGGACACTATTACACCTATGCTAATAAAAGGGTGTGATCTAACAATGTACACAGGTGAAAACATAATTTGCACAACCAGTATCCATACAAGCCTGAAACTATTCAATTCCTCCCCCCTCTCAACTTTCATTCACACACTTTCTACTTCTCTTTTATTGCAATGTCTACATTTATAAGGGGATGTAAATATTTAACCTGTGGCATAAATCATCCTATAAAATGTTAAAATCTCAACTATGAATCAGACTTCACTGAAAATAATTATTAAAATACAAATAGTAAGTACCAGAGTAGGTCTAGGGCCAATAGTTAACATATATCCATTCTTTATTAGCCTTTTAATGCAGCATTTTTTACAACACAGGCAGGGTACACGTAACACAGAAATCAGCCGGAAGCATCATGGCAGTTCTAAAGCAAAGGATCTTCACAGCTTGACACTTTATTGTTAAACAACATGTCAGTTTGTCCCCATTTCCCTCTTTGCACATACAGTACTCATTACACAAGATAATTGACCGTTTCTGGGGTAATACCAGAGCTCAACATTAGTTCTAGACTTCAGTGCACTTTCAGAAATACAGCTAGCCTCTACCTGCTCCCTGCGGTTCTTGGGCAAAGAACTACCTTACTAATAATTGACTTTCTTTTCAGATTGGCTAGTTTTGCCATGTGTAGCCTCACTGACCCTCTAATACTCACTGCCTGTGAGGGCAAGGTGGGCAGGGGGGAGTCCTCAGAAAGGGGCTCCCCCCTCAAGGCAAAGAGCCCTTTCTAACTCCAGTTCTGTCACTGGCAGGAGAAGAAAGGAGGTTTGGGTCTAGTAAACCCTGCAATGTTCTCCTCTCTTCTCCAGCCCTTCTTGTTCAGCTGAGTCAAAGAGTCCACGGAAGAGTGAGAAATTCCTACACCTGCTGGCTCTTCCTGATGATGCAAGGAACTAAGCCTGTTGCTCCTGTACATCAACACATACTTCCCCGAGTTCCCCCAGGTGGCAGCCCATAATTATGTTCCAGGAAAATATGGGGTAGCCGTATTTAGTTTGCATCTAAGTGATGTTGACTGCATAACAGTCTCATAATATTGTGAAGACAGGCATTGTGTTGTAAGGTTTTGAGACTGTTCCTCCACCGACCTATTCTTTATGTGCCCCAGATGAGGAGTGGGAGGGAGACAAAATCAGCCCTTGGAGATCGAAGCCATGGACATCCTGCAGAAGCAGCCTGGATGGTTTCCGGAGGGGGCAAGGCTCAGTGGGAGAGCTATCTAGGGGCATCTAGGGGTGCTGGGGAGAAGGGAGGGGCCTTCCACTCAGAGTTGCCCCCTCCCTCCCGCAGAGCTGCTCTCCCTCCCTCCCCCCCTGATGGCAAATGTCTCCCACACCAGGAATGGCTTCGGCTGGACTTTCTGCTCTGGCCCCAAGAGGCCCTGGGGAAGACACCCTTCCCAACACCCCCTGCCCAGGAGTCCTCAGTCCAGGGAGATGGACATCAGGGTGACCTTCCCAGAGATCAAGGCCATTGGCCACAGGACCACTCAGGGCCTTTTCTGAGGGGGGGGTCTCAGATGAGCTCCAGTTGGGGGCCAAACGAGATTAACCCAGGACTCTCTCTGTTGGAGACCCTCTGCCCAGAGGGAGGGGGCTTCAGACGCGAAGGCAGGAAGGGCTGTGGGGCTGCAGTAATGATAGTTTGGGTCAGTCTAGATAGGCTCCACTGCTCCCTCACAGAAAGAGAGGCCTTCAAAGGAAAGCCAGAGGGGTCTCAGCAGGAAAAACTCCAGGCTGCCATTCTCCTCCTCCCCCCAATCTAAAATCTTGACCCTCCATTTTTCAGAGGTTGCAAAAAAGAGACAGAAATTCTTCAGCTAATGGAAAAAAGCCCCTTCCTTTCCCACAAGGAAGCAGGAAGGACGGCAGGATTAATTCATGAGTGCTGTAGAAAAAAAGAGATGGGGAGAAATTTAGAAAATAAAGTGAAGCCAGTGTAAATAGCTTATTATTCCTCTCTTTCAGCCACCCCCCCAGACAGGCCCACATTGCAGGGAGGTGGTTGATAGGTAGGAACAAAGTGAGGGAGTGTTCCCCCCCCTTTTTCCAAAGGAAAAGGATGCAAAGGATCAACAATTCATCTCCAGAGGCTTATGGAATTTTTCCCAATTGACTTAATTGGGGAGTTAATCAAGAGAGGAGGTCTCCCTCCCCCCAGACGTTTCATATTAACAAAGAAGATGGGGCCAGGATGGGGAGTGGTAGCAAAGCTGGGTGTCACTTTGCCAGAAATTGTGTGAAATGTCACAAGGAGACTTCCCTTCTCCTTTGCAATTTCCCAAAACCTGGAAACCTCCTGGGCCAGATTTTAGTGTTTATGTGTGTGTGTTTGTTTTTCATTGCACTGTTTTCAGGTCTCTGTAATGAAAAGCTGCCCAAAATTTCAAAAATTTGTGTTAATTTGTTAAAATTTGTTCAGGCACATTTTTTTTTTTAAAAAAAGGAACAATTAAGGAATGTTAAAGAAACATCTATAACTTGGGGAGAAAGTCACCTGCAGGAGGCTGGATGGGAATTGCTGAAAGGAGAAAAAGACCCAATCAGGACCCTTCATGGGCTGGAGCACTCAGGGTGTCTCCCTCTCCATCAATAGCCCATAATAGGTTGCAGGATGCTCACTTATACAGTAGACTCTCAAAGAACAGAATTTCCCAAGCAAATCTCCAAGGGGGCCTCCTTGCCATCTGCTAAGCTTGCTGAGAGGCCTCCCCTGGATGGTCCCCTCCCCACAATCTCTCATCCAGCCCCCCAGACTCACATTTCTTGCTCTTCATGTAGAGGAAGAGCCCCATGGCAAAGAAGATCACCCCAATCACGGCTGCCACGATCCCCGTCCAGAGTTTGCTCCTGGCCGAGTTGGAGGAACGGGGCTCTGGGGAAGGAGAAGGAGCCTCACTGAGTAGGAAGATCAGGGCCAGCTTCCCCCCCCCCAGGAGGGTCCATCCCAGCTCCCCCCACAGGGAGGGTATCTCCCCCCTTCTCAGGGCAGGAGGGGGTCCCCAGACCAGAGGGGAGGGAGGGGAGGGGCTCACCCCACGGGACAGTGATCGGGGCCTCCAGGCTGGCATGCTCCACCTGGCAGGTGTAGACGTCCCCCCGCTGGGGCTGGGTCTCCAGCAGCACATGGAGCTGGTAGGTCCAGTCTCCATTCTGGAGCTCCTCCCCGAAGGCCACACCCTCCTCCTCCGGCCGCCCGTTCGTCAGCCACTGGACCTCAATCTCCACGGGGTAGAAGCCCCTCGCGATGCAGAGGAGGATGGTGTTGGGGGAAGCGGGATCCAGCTTGGTGGGGGAGATGGAGACGGTGGGCTTGGCTGGAGGGGAGGAGGTATATGGAGGAGACACAGGAGGGGTCAGAACAGGAAACCAAGTGGGTTAGTTCAGGCCAGGATCCCTTTTCAGTCCTGAAAATAGTATTTGTTTTAAGTCATTTCCAAAGCAAATTGCAGCAAGAAATTAAACGGAATCCTGAAAGATGGAAAAACATAAATCGTTCCTGGTTGGGATCAGTTTCCATCATCAAATTGCACAAGTCCAACAGGAATAAATGCTGGAAATGTCCCAGGACAGAAGGAATTTCCTGCCAGATGTTTGGGAGATGGAAAGAGACCCAGAAGATGGGGAAGACACACACAGTATGTTTTGGAGAATTGCAGGGATCCCATTCAAAAGAAAACCACATTTTTAAAAAATAGGTAGAATACCAGAACATTTATTTATTTATTAAATTTTTTTGCCACCATCTCATGATAAAATAACTCTAGGCAGCTTACAGCAGGGCTTTTCAACTGGTGGTACATGTACCACCTGTGGTACATGAGCACATGGCAGATGGTATGCTGCCCTGCTCAGCCAAGTGTAGTGGGGGAGGGAACGAGCCAGCGCAGGCAAGGACTTACTGTGAGAGAGTCCTCTGGAGCTGCAGAGTGGCTGGGGTGAGGCAAAGGCCCCAGGCTCACTTCCGGCTCACCCCCCTCCCCCATGAGAAAGGAGGAGGAGGGGGCGGAGACAGGAGAGGCTATAAGAGGCGGCAGTTTGGGTGGGAGAAGGAGAGAGAGAAAAAGAAGCAGCCTTGGGAGGAGGAGGAGTCAGCTCTCTGCACAGAATGGAAAGAAGAAGGAGGAGGGTGGGGGGAGAGGAGAGGAGATCAAGCAGGCCGGCCACAAGTGGATCTACAACTTCTGTGGCAGCCACCTGTGCTGGCAGCAACCAAGAGACAAGGAACGTAGGGAGGAGGGGTTGCTCTCCATGAGGAATGAAGAAAGGCAGCAATGAAGAAAGGCAGCACTGGCTGGAGGTGAGGCAAGGAGTGAGATGGAGAGTGGAATGATTCATTTGTGCTTTTGTGACATTAAAGTTCTGGGATTTGTGCAATGAGGGCTTTGTTTTCTTAAAGAGTGTTTGGCAATTTCTATTTGGCTGATGGCTGATGTCTCATGTTAGCTTCTACTGCTCTACTATTTTTAGGTGTAAGTTTTGCTGCAAGGGATTTTGAAGTATTTTTCTCCTGAATGGATTTTGCCTATAGAATTCCTTTACTTACGAATGGAGCCATTTGGGGAGGCTGCCTTAGCCGGCAGCCATACTTACTACATTTTTGTTCTTCCTTAAGTGCCCACTGGGCTACTTAACTTTCCTTTCTAGCCAGTAGCTAATTCTTAAAGGGGAATGCGCTTTTTTAAGCTAGTTCTCTCAATGGCTTGTCTTTTCTGTCTCTGGAGGCTTTTCCTTGTTCAATGAATATATGGAAGAAGGGAAATTGGGGGGTCAAATTCGTCCTTCAGAAGGAGATGGGAATGAGAAAGAGGGAGGGAGGGAAGGAGGGAAGGAAGTCCCGCCTTAGCACTTAGCCACCAGCAGCCCTGCCAATGGCTTTGCTTGTCAAAAGGTTGCAGAAGGGGATCACATGACCCTGGGACACTGTGACCATCATAAATATGAATCCGTTGCGAAGCATCCAAATATAAATCACATGACCCTGGGCATGCTGCAATGGTCATAAGTGTGAAAAATGGTCATAAGTCATTTCAGTGGAATTGCAACTTTGAACAGGTTTTTTTTGGGGGGTCATCAAGTGTTTGACATCTTGCTAGGTAGTACTCGAATATTGCCATATCCTAAAAGTGGTACAGTCGGTGAAAAGGTTGAAAAGCCCTGGCTTACAGCATTAAAACATTAAAATCCTGACAGATAAATATTTCTATTGCAATCAAAATGGAATTCAAGATAAAATTATAGTTAAAAGATGGGGAGGAACAGGAGGTGTGAGGTGGGAGGGGGGATTGCCTCTGAATTCAACAACTACCTCCAGTGTGAGGCTCCCCATGAGGACCCCCTGATTTTGAGCCAGGTTTCGCCTAATCTGTACTTGAACCTTTGGTTTTTTCTGCCCAGGTTCCCCCCCCAACCTCTCCCTGCAGCTTCCGGCCTCCCTCCCAGCCCCATTTCCCCTGGGGAGGGAGGTGGGGAGGGATCCCACCCTCCTGCCTGGGATGGGGGGCAGGCAGGGGTCTAGGACAACTCAGCCAACTCAATGCAGCACAAAAGTTACACAATATGGAAGAAATGGAGAAAGAGAATCAGGAAAGGAAGGAGGCCGAGGGAGGAGGAAAATGAAATGTGAAGGACAAAAATAAAAAAAAAAAACATTTTTAAAATTATTTTAAATAATTGAACAAAATTTTTGAATTGTCCTGCAGTGAATTGCCCCATTCCGGACAGGAAGGGCGGATAGGATCTGGGGGGGGGGGAATCTTGGGGAAAGAGAAGGTGGGAGCAGTTGGTGGCTGAGGAGATTAGGCAGATCCCAGGATCACAGAAGAGCCTTGGAAGGGATCCCTCTTGATCTCCTCCTTCAGCAAATGGCACAACTCTTGGGTGGATTAATGGGGAGGTGGGCTGAGTGAGCTCCCCAAGAGGGTCCTTCTTAGATCCACTCCAGATCAGAGAACTTTTGCTATGTTTCTCTCCGTTGAGGGATTCTCTGATGAACAGCTCATTATATAAAGTTTAAGAACGTGTAATTTTTAAAGGTTTGGTTATTTGTAATTTAATCCTGGGATCTGGTCGGGATTTTTTTATGAACAGTTAATTATCCTCCTAGGTTTGCAGGGAAGAATTTAGGAGTAAAAATGAATTCCAGACTGAATATGCGGAGAACAAAATTGGATGAACAAATGACTAAAGAATAAATATGTATATATAGAATAAAATAAAATATAAAGGATAAAAAGAACTGAAAGAGGGACAGGGCCCAGCAGACGAAAGAGCCTTCCCTGATTCCCTTTTCCTTTGGAAGTTCACTTTTTATCCTAAAATCCCAAAGGCCCCAGAGGTGAAGGGAGCCCCTCCCCCCTCCTGGCCTTCCAGAAAGGGGGGGAAAGGGGGCTCTGGGGCTTTGTTGGGGGGGGGCAGAGAAAAGGATGCTTTTCATGAGTTTTTCCCACTGACTTTTAACAGTTCCTGCCTTTTAGATCTCAAGTTGTATAGCCTATTTTCGTGCTTTGATGTTTTATCTGTACACCACCCAGAGTTCCTCTGTGAAAAAGACAGATAGTTTTAAAAGTTGATAAATAAATCAATAAATATTATTGATTTATTAATTTAAAATATTATATTGAAATGTTATATAGTATATAGATTATATTGAAATATCTCTATATACTGGACAAGAGAGAGAGCTTGCTGGATTCCTCCCCCCCCTCAAAGAAAAATATAATATTTGGTATAATATTCTAGAAAGAAGTTTTTCTGGGCAGGGGAAACTTTGGACCTTGGGAAGAGAAGGAAGATGATGGGAGGGATGGGAAGGAGAGGCATCTATTGCTTCCCTTTTCCATGTTTCATTGTCATCCTTGTAGAATTTCAAACTTTTTAAGTGTAATTTAATTTTAAAGCTTATTTGTTATACATTTTTATTTAGGGGTGATGTTATATTGTAGGCCATCCAGATCCCCGCTTTGAGGGGGGCGGTTTAGGAGTATCACTAGATATCAATAAATACCAGTGAGTAAATTTCATAGATCTGAGAGTAGAGAATACATAAGAGAAGATGATAACCTTTTTTGTCATTTTTTTACGGTGGGCACAACGGCACACATCCAAAACGAAATTGAGTTGCCCGCTCTCAGAGTGAAAGACATGCATGACACACCCTAAAAACACACTCTGTGCAACCTATGTGCAGACCCCCAGCCCTCCATATACAGAACGAGTCAATATTAAACACTCTCCCTCCTGAGTAGGTAAGGGAAGGAGGAAGCTGGAGAGGGGGAAATCTTTCTCCGGGAGAGTCCGAAGAAATGAAAGGAAAAGGGGGGGGTCCCTGCATTCCCCCCCCCCCGGAACTCCCCCTCCCCCACTCACCTCTCCGGCCAATCACGGGGCCGCCCTGGAGAGCCTCGTAGTTGTATCGGCAGAAGGCATGCAGGAGACGCTCATCCCTGTTCCAAGCCTCCGCAGTCGCCTTCCCCAACGCCGTGACGGCCTCGAACTCCCCGCGGGCGCTGTCGAAGCGGACGAGCTCCTGCCGGTCGTAGAACAGCCGCTCCAGGAACCGCACCCGCCGCGTCCCGTAGGGCTGCGGGAGGTTGGGGGGTGGAGCAGAAAGAAGAGAGCCCTCAGGAGGGACTCCAGGGCCCATGGTTCCCAGCAGGGGCGGAGCGACGGGAAAGCGGAGGGACGGGAGACCTGCCGCGAGGGACTGCCGGAAGGCGCCCCCTGGAGGAGGGATGGGGAACCGTCGGTCCCATCGGGATTCCCCCTTGGTGGGGGTCTGGAGGGGGCAGGAAAATGAGGGAGGGGGAAAGAGGGACCCCCCTCCATCTCCCCAGGGTGAAAAAAGGCAGGCAGAAGTTCAGCCGGTCCAGCCCTCCGTCCGTCTGCAGGGAACGCTGGATTCCCCCCCCCCAAAGCGGCAGGAAATAGGGGGGGAGGGAAGAGACCCCCCTCTGGGCTGGAGGGGAAATAATATCCAAGCTTCTCTCTCCCTCTCCCTTTTGGGAGCAGAAGGGAAGGGGGGGGTCACAATAAGGATACCCACACCCATGCTCCTGGGCTCTCCCCGCCCTTCAAGCCCCCCCCTTCCCTTTTCCCCCTTCTGCCCCATCTTCAGCCCCACGAGCTGCCTTTGGGTGCTTTTCCAGGCCTCTTTTCTGGCCCCCTCCCCCCTGCAGCCCCCCAAGACCACCTCAAAGGGAGGGGCTCCAGCCCCCTTCACTAAAGGGGGAGTTTGGAGGAGCAACTCAGACCCCCCCCCCAATATCCCTCCCAATAGAGGAGGAGAAGGCGAGGGAGGGGAAGATTTTCAGTCTTGGGGGCTGCAGCTTTAGAGGGGTGTCCAGGGGGGGGGTTGTGGACTTCCTTTTTCGCCCCCTCCCATGAATCTGAACCACCGTCCCCCTTTCTCTTTCTGCCTGGAGGGGTGGACTAGATGACCCTTTAAGTTCCCTTAAGACCCCCCATGGGGAGTCCAGGCTGGGTCAGTGGAGACATCGGAAGGGCCGAGGGGAGCTGGGGGGGGTCTCTCCGGAGACCCTCCCTCCCCCTAGTCTCGCTTGGCCCAAAGGGGCTTCTCCAAAAGGCAGCTGGACTTTCCTGGTTCTTCCCTTGAAGACTTTTCGCTTCTCCTCCCAGAAGCTTCTTCAGTTCTGACCGAAGGGTGGAGAGTGGAAGGACGGATATTCCTTGTGGTCATTTGGTCATTTTGAAAGTCGGTCCCTGGTTCTCTGAGGGGCCTTGAGGGGTTTATCTGGGCCCTCGGGGTCCCCTGAATTGGGGGGCAAAGGGGTGGGGGGCCTTCCTGGGGCTGCTGAAAGGACCCCGTTGTAGGCAGGAGATGGGGGGGTCCTTTCCCTCCCTCCACTCTGTTGAGGGGGGGCTGCTCAAATTTGACGTAGATGGCTTGGGGGTCTGGGGATCTTGGGGAGAAGAGAACCCCCAAATTCCCTAGTTACCCCCAAATTTTCTTTCCCATCAACTTCACCCCTACTGGCTGCCTTTGCATGATTTGTGGATTCAGCCCTCTTTTCTGTCACCCTGAAGCCCCCCAAGACCACCTCAAAGGGAGGGTCTCCAGCCCCCCTCAACAAAGAAATCGTTTTGAGTAGCCAATTTAGGGGAACAATTCAGACCCCCCCCAATATCCTTCTCCCACAGTTCCCCCCTCCCCTCCAGGTCCCGATTCAGCAATGGGAAATATGAGGTGGGGGATTCTGTGTCTCCTCCCCAAATTGAGAGTCTCCCCCAAGAAGGAATCCAGCTCAACTCTTCCCTCCCCTTAAAAAAATGGAGGTTCAGAAGAAACACTTTTGCCAAAAAAAACCCTCTTTTTCTTATACTCTTTGCTAGCCTTTGTGGATTCAGGTCTGAAAATGCCTCAGTTTCCCTCTTTCGCTTTCGCTTTCTGTCTTCTTCCTCTTTCAGTGCAAGAAACTTTGGGGCTCAGGCGCTAATTTGGGGTTCACAAGGTCCCCCTCCCACCCAGCCACGGGGGGGGGGGCGGAGAGGGGGTCCAGCTCCTCTTATCCCATCTCGGCTGCCTTCCCGTGACCCTCGCCCACCTCGGCCATAATTAGGGAACGGGGGCTCCCTCTTCGTCCTGCGGGGGAAAATACGGCGAGGGAGGGAGACCACGCGGAGATCGAGGCCCCTGCAGTCTCCCGCCTCTCTTGCCTTCGACCTCTTTCTCTACTTCAGGGGTCCCAGCCCCTTTCTCTCTCCCCCCCCCTCAGGAGCACTGACGGCCCCTCCCAGCCCCTCTCCTTACCGGGCGCCTCCTTCCCCCCTTCGCTTCCGGGGATCCGGGCCAGCGCCCCCGCCAGCAACAGAAGAGGGACCCCAACGGAGCCCATGGACGCCGCCCCACCAGCGCCCCCAGAGAGCGGGGAGAGAGACGCGGAGGCTCCCAGCCCCAGAGGCGGAATCGGGGGGTCTGGCTTGGGGGGAGGAAGCGCTTTCCTCCAACTTCGGAATTGGGAGGGCCCAGGAAAGCGGAGGCACCAATGAGAAATCTCCTTTCTGCAGCGTCATCGGTCTCCGGGCAGAGCCTCCCTTGACTTCGCCCGATGGAGGAGATAGTTCGGCGCAGAGAGAGAAGCGGAGAAAGTGGGAGGGGGAAAAATCCCTTCAGTCCGGTGGGGGGAGCTGCCCTTTAGGGGGGCGTTTCATGCCAGCTCCGGAGGGGAGGGCGGACTTCCTTTTGCGCCCCCCCCCGCGTGATTCTCAACCAGAGCCTCCTTTTCTCTGGGTGTCTGGAGGGGTGGACTAGATGCCCTTTCGGTTCCCAGAGGGAGCCTAGAGCAAAGTGGAGCCAGAACTTGAGGGCTCCTCTTGGGCTCGCCAGTTTCGGAGCAGGAAGCCCCCCCCCAGGTCTGGACCATGTGGGGGGAATTGCGGACACACACACACACACACACACTCCCAAACTCCTCAGGCAACCGATACCAGATGTTATATCAGAACCCCATCCTCCACAAATCCTGGAGCAGCGGGGAAGAACCGAGGATTGGAAAAGGGCTGATGTGGTTCCCATCTTCAAGAAAGGGAGAAAAAAAAACAGACCCAGGAAACTGCAGACCAATCAGTTTAAGCTCAATATCTGGGAAGATCCTAGAAAAGATAATCAAAAAAGAGATCTGCGAACAACTAGAAGCAAACACAGTGATAACCGGGAGCCAGCAAGGTGTGTGGAAAACAGATCATGCCAGGCCAATCTCATCTCATTCTTGGATCAAGGGACTGAATCAGTAGACCAGCGGAACGCAGTGGACGTCGCATGCCTAGATTTCAGTAAGGCTTTTGACAAAGTAGACCACAACCTGCTCCTTGCTGAACTAGGAAAAGGTGGGATAAACAACATCACCACCAGATGGATCTGTAGCTGGCTGACAAGCCTACTCAAGGAGTAGCCCCCAATGGCCCCATATCCACATGGAGAGAAGTAAGCAGTGGGGCACCACAAGGCTCCGTCTATTCCAGTGATGGCGAACCTTTGAGACACTGAGTGCCCAAACTGCAACTCAAAACCCACTTATCCATCATCGGGTGCCAGGTGGGCGTGGCCCATTGGCTGGGTGTGGCCCATCGAGTGGGTGTGGCTGCAGTGACTGGGTGGGACTAAAAAGTTCAATCAATCAATTCCAACTTTGCAAGATCTTTTTTTTTCCCTGTGAGAAGTTGAAATTGACTGATTGATTGAACTTTTTTTTTTTTTGCAGACGGTGATGGCGGCCTAAAGCAAAAAGGTTTTATAAAACCCAGCTGAAGGCCTAGGATTGGGGCGATAGCATGTGTGCCCACAGAGAGTGCTCTGAGTGCCACCTCTGGCACCCGTGCCATAGGTTCACCCTGGTCTATTCTATTCTGTTCTGTTCCATTCTGTTCCGTTCCATTCCATTCCGTTCTATATTCTATTTTGTTCTATTCTCACTTTAAAAGTATCGGCTATAGCTTGCAATGTATCATTCCTCCGCTGCAAATATACCTGCCCAAGGAGAAAGTTCTGGGCTGCTTGCCAGCAGTTGTGTATTCGAAGCGTAGCCTGTGACAAGCTGAAACTGACCTAACCTGATAAACACGTATTCAAACGAAAAAGGAATCTTTTAGCCTGTTAGCCTGAGAAAGTGCCTTAGCTATAAAAGTGAAAAACATTTATTAGTGTGTGTGCCTTTTTTTCCTCTGTCTCGCTGTGCGTGTGACAAGAAATTGAGACATCGGGCTCTTCTTTGATCAAACAATAAAGCTGTATTTATTTATTTATTTATGAGACTTATATACCGCTTTAAGTGCAAGCACTCTCTAAGCCAGTGGTTCTCAACCTTTCTAATGCCACGACCCCATAATACAGTTTCCCATGTTGTGGTGACCCCCAAACACTTATACATCACCGGGTGCCAGGGGCGTGGCCAAAGAAAAGAGGAAAAAATGGCTGACAGACTTGTTTGGCGACCCCCGTGAAATGGTCGTTCGACCCCAAATGGGGTCCCGACCCACAGGTTGAGAACCACTGCTCTAAGCGGTGTACACCAGTAAGCAATGTATATATATATTTACATTGCCCCCCGGAAGGATGGAAGGCTGAGTCAACCTTGAGCCGGTGAGATTTGAACCGCTGACCTGCTGAACACAGTCAGCTAAAGTGGCCTGCAGTACTGCACTCTAACTGCTGCGCCATCGCCGTAGCCTTGTATTCAGAGTCTCTCGGAGATTTGTGTGGATTCTGAGCTGAAAAGCCTCAGGGAATAAAGGGCTGTGACCAGGGCGATTGGGGCTTTCATTGTTCTTCATGCCTTTTATGATTAATTTGATCAGGAGCGTTTTAGCCTAACAATAGTCAGTATGTTGGCTAATGCGTTTGAATTTTTTAATAAAGTGGTAGTAGACCAGCGAAATGCTGTGGACATGGTAGACTTAGACTTCAGTAAGACATTTGACAAAGTAGACCACAAAACCATTCCATTCCATGTTCTGTTCTGTTCTGTTCCGTTCCATTCCATTCCATTTTCTATTCCATTCTGTTCTGTTCCGTTCCATTCCATTTTCTATTCCATTTTTTATTCTATTCTGTTCTGTTCTGTTCTATTCCGTTCCATTCCATTCCATATTTTATTTTGTTCTGTTCTGTTCCGTTTCATTCCATTCCCTATTCTGTCTGTTCCGTTCCATTTCGGTCCGTTCCCTATAAACTGACCCCAGGGACTCTGGGCCTGCCTGTCAGTCCAGAAGCCCAAATCTCTTCCTGCTTTGAACCCACAGCAGCTTCATCTCCACTACTCTTCCTCTGAATCCCTTCCCTTCATTATAAAAGAATAAAAGTTAAATGGTAGAAAAACCTGGTGTTCCTCCTCCCTCCCTCACTTCCTCTTCCTCCTCCTCTTTCCTGCCCCCCCATTAGAGAGTCCTCCCTCCTCCCCTCCCCCTCCCCGGATTGAGGCCTCCCCTGCCTCCATATTGACCAACCGGGCTAGTTTAGATCCGAAGCCAGAAGAGGTTCGGGAGGAGGGTGGGCAGATCCCAGGGAGGGGAAGGGGCAGGACCCCCTCCTCCTCAATCTCCCCAAGCCCTGCCAGAGGGAGGGGACCCCTCGGAGACGCCCTATTCCTGCTTCCCCCGGAGAGCCTCTTCCGTGGCTGGGAAGCTGCTGGAGCTGGAGGTTCTCCTGGCTTCATCCGGGCCTCTTTCTCCAGGATCGGAGCCCGTTTGAGCCCCTCAGAAGCCACGGAGGCTCCTGCCCCATTCGCACCCAGCGCCCCCCTCCCTCTCACCCTCCCTCCCTCTTCGGGGCCCTGATCCCCTCGTCTCCCCCCTTCAGACGTACTCCCACCACGACCATCTCCCCCCCCCCAAAAAGGAGACAGGACCGGGGAGGGCCGAGAGCAGGGCGACCTCCCTGGGGATGGGGGGGGAGACGTCCCTCCCGGCAGCCCAGGATCGTCCTCGCTGTGTCTGCGGTGGGTGAAGTCACAAAGGACTCTGCCCGGAGACCGATGACGCTGCAGGAGGGAGAAGTCCCATTGGTTCCTCCCCTTGGAGGTACTTCCAGTTCTGAAGTCCCCCGCCCACCCTCCAGACCCCCCCCTCCGATTCCGCCTCTGGGGCCGGGGGCGTCCCTGGGCTCCGCCGGGGATTCCCTGCTGCTGCCGGGCGGGGGCGCTGGGCCGGATCCCTGGAAGCCAAGGGGGGAAGGGAAACCCCGCTCAGGAGGGGCTGGGCGGGCGGAGGTCAGCGCTCCTGGGGGAGGGCGAGAAAAAGGGGCTGGGACCCCAGACGTGACTTTGGGAGAGGGATGGAGGGCGAGAGAGACTGCGGGAGCCCCCCCACTCCCTCCCATCATCCCTCCCCCAGGAGGAGGGAAAGAGGCCCCTCCCTTTGCTGGCTGTGGCTGAGGTGGGGAGGGGGTCGCTGGAGGACAGCCGAGGGGCGATTTCCTGAGGGGACAACCTCCTTCTTCCTAGCCTGGATGTCCCAAGGATTCTCTCTGGCGGCTGCGGGGTCCCAGTCCCCCCTCCCATCCCCCCCTCCGCTCAGGGATCCCGAGAGGAGCCCCCACCCCCAAGACAATGCCCCGCCTCCAGTGAACCCCCCCATGCAGGACAGCCCACCGGCTCTCGGGGCCCCCTGAGGCTGCTCTCCCCGAGGGGGGTCTTTCCAAGGGGGGGTCGCCATTCCTTGCCTCCCCCCTCCTGGGAAAAAAGCTCTCCCTGGGAATCGGAGGGTTTCCCTCCCCCCCCCCTCCAGAGCGAGGCGGCGAGGGGTTCCCCTCCCAGGGACGGAGCAGGAAAGGGAGGCCTTTTCCCTGCCGGTTCCAGATCCAGTCAGAGCACAAACTGCACCCGGGAGAGAAAAAAAGGAAGGGGGGAGGGAGGGAGGGAGGGAGGGAGAGCCAATTTGGTTGGAAATGCCCCAGTTCAAAGGAAAAAGCTATTTTGTGTTTTGTTTTGTCACAGACAGAACATTGTTGGCAATCCAAGTTAACACCGGCATTCTTGAATTGTGAGGAGGAAGGAAGGAAGGAAGGAAGGAAGGAAGGAAGGAAGGAAGGAAGGAAGGAAGGAAGGAAGGAAGGAGGAGGGAGGGAGAGAAAACGGGAAGGAAGGAAGGAGGGACGGGAAGGGAGGAAGGAAGGAAGGAAGGAAAGGAAAGAGGAGGGAGGAGGAAAGGGAAGAAGGAGGGAGGGAGGAGGAGAGAAAAGGAAGGAAGGAAGGGAGGAGGGAGGAGGAAGAAGGAAGGAAGGGAAGGGAGGAAAGGGAGGGAAGGAAGAGAAAGGATGGAGGCAGGGAGGATTCTCGCTTTCCCCCCTCTGATTTCCCCCCCCCCTTGAGATCAACAACAGCCCCTCTTCAACCAAATCCGACCTATTTCAGGGGGTGAAAACCCCCCCCAGCGCTGGGGGCAAAACCTCCCCCCCCTCCGGCAGCCCCTTTGCCGGGAAGGGGAAGGGTCCAAGCAGAGGCTTTCAGGAGGGGGGGAGGGGACTGGCCCCAGGAAGGGGGGAGGGCCAGTCCCACCCAGGACGGGGATTTGGCCTCCTTCTTCACGGGGGGCCAGGAAACGCGTGTCTCTCCGTGTGTGAAGGCGCCCAGTCAGCCGCCTCAGGGACCCCCAAGTCCTCGCCGGCTGCGGGGCTGCCCCTCCCCTTCTGCCCTCCCCTGCAGCCCCCCGGCCCTTCTAGGCAGGACCAAGGGGGGGAAGGGCAAAAGGAAGTGCATGCTCCCCTGCAGGGCTGGTCTGAAACCCCCCTTTGAGCTGCGCCCCCCCCCGACTGAAGGGATTTTCATCCACTTTCTCTGCTTCTCTCTCTGCGCCGAACTATCTGGTGAAGTCAAGGGAGACTCTGCCCGGAGACCGATGACGCTACGGAAAGGAGAATTCTCATTGGTCCTTCTGATTTCCTGGGCCCTCCCAATTCCGAAGTTCGAGGGAAACGCCCCCTCCCCCCAATTCCGCCTCTGGGGCTGGGAGCCTCCGCGTCTCTCTCCCCGCTCTCTGGGGGGCTTGTGGGGCGGCGTCCATGGGCTCCGCGGGGCTCCCCCTGATGCTGCTGCTGCTGGCGGGGGCGCTGGCCCGGATCCTCGGAAGCGAAGGGGGGAAGGAGACCCCCGGTAAGGAGGGGGCTCATAGGGGGAGGAGAGGGGTTGGGAGGGGTCGTCAGAGCCCCTGGGGGTGGGGGAAGAAAGGGGCTGGGACCCCAGAAGTGGGGGAAAAGGGGTCGAGGGCAAGAGAGGCAGTAGGCTGCAGAAGCCTCTATCTCCGCGTGGTCTCCGCCCCTGCCTCGCCTCATTTTCCCCCCGCAGGACGGAGAGGGAGCCCCCTCCCCTCTTCCCTTGTTGTGGCCGAGGTGGGGCGGGGGTCGCGGGAAGGCAGCCCAGGTGGGATAAGAGGCAGCTGGGCTCCCCTCTCGCCCCTCCTCCCCGTGGCTGGGTGGGAGGGGGACCTTGCGGACCCCGAATTAGCGCCTGAGCCCGAAGTTTCTTGCACTGAACGAGGAAGGAGACGGGAAGCGAAAGCGAAAGAGGGAAACTGAGGCATTTTCAGAACTGAATCCAGAGAAGCCACCAAAAGTGTTTTTGCAACCTCAGTTTTTCTTCTGAATCTCTATTTTTTTTAAGGCGAGGGAAGAGTTGAGTTTGGATTCCTTCTTGGGGGAGACTCTGAATTTGGGGAGGAGACCCAGAACCCCCACCCCATATTCCCCCATTGCTGAATCGGGACCTGGAGGGGAGGGGGGAACTGAGGGAGAAGTATATTGGGGGGCTCTAAATTGCTCCCCTAAATTGGCTCCCCAAAACTGTCCCTTTAGTGAAGGGGGTGGAGCCCCTCCTTTTGAGAGGGTCTGCGGGGCTGCAGGGGGGTCTATTGGGGCGGAGGAGTGGAAAGAGGCCTCGAAAAGCATCCAAAGGCAGCTTGTGGGGCTGAAGATGGGGGCGGGGGGGAAGGGGAAATGGGAAGGGGGGGCTTGAAGGGCGAGGAGAGCCCAGGAGCATGGGTGTGGGTATCCTGATTGTGACCCCCGCCTCTTATGTCCCCGAAAGGGAAAAGGAGGGAGAAGCTTGGATATTATTTTCCCTTCCAGCCCAGAGGGGGTCTTCCCTCCCCCCATATTTCCTCTCAGTTTGGGGGGACAAAGAGATCCAACGTTCCCTGCAGACAGTTAGGCCGAGTGCTGGACCAGCTGAACTTCTGCCTGTCTTTTTCCACCCTGGGGAAGATGGGGGGGTCCCTCAGGAAGCTACCCCCTCCCTTATTTTCCTCCCCCCTCCCGACCCCCACTGAGGGGGAATCTCGCTGGGACCGACGGTTCCCCATCTATCCTCCAGGGGGCGCCTTCCGGTAGCCTCTTGCGGTAGGTTTCCCTCCCCTCCTCTCACAAGCCTGTGTCCCTCCTCGAGGGGAGGCTGGGGACCATGGGCCTCGGAGTCCCTCCTGACCCTCTTCTTCTTCTTCTTCTTCTTCTTCTTCTTCTTCTTCTTCTTCTTCTTCTTCTTCTTCTTCTTCTTCTTCTTCTTCTTCTTCTTCTTCTTCTTCTTCTTCCTCCTCCTCCTCCTCCTCCTCCTCCTCCTCCTCCTCGCACCCCATTGTCTGTACCAGGGGAGGTGCGAGTGCCGCTTCCTCTCCTCTCCGGAGCTGGCATCAAACGCCTCCCTAAAATGCATCCCCCCCCCCACTCCAACTTTC